CTGGGAGCAGTGAGCGGCTGCACAACGAGGCTGCTCTGAAGGGGTGGTGGTCAAATGTCAAACAGGTATGGTTTTAGCTTTATATAGGCCCTGATTTGTACACTGAAGGCTCAACATAATCTACTGGCCAGATTATCTTCCTGTTTCATCAGTAATCCAGCCTTGTTCTTTTTCCTGCTTCATTTTCGATTCTCTGTTTGGACTCCTGCTTGTTGTCCTGATGCTGACTTCTTCACAACTTGCAGCCTATGAGCTTCTGCTTGCATTTTTTTTTTTTTTTTACCGTCATAAACTGTTTCTTTCTGCCTGGTATCACTCTTCATTTTGGATCCTCTTCCATTATACTAAAGACAACCATGACACTATGTAATATCTTTTTAATATTATAATGGGCCAAAGACAGATTTTTAGTAAAATTTTAACCTAAAACCCAAGATTAAGGGCTCCTGTTTGATATGCATATATATATATATTTTATTTCTCTTTAAGATTTGTATAGATCAAATAGCAAAGAGAAATTAAAATAAAAATGCATATCAAACAAGAGCTCGGGTCTTAAGAGGTTAAAGTAACAACATATAATTATATATTTTATGCTTTGGTGAGGCTGTTAAACACAACATGCACGAATCATCGTGCAGTGGGGAGTACAAAACAACACACAGTCTCTTCTCTATCACTGCATATTGGCATAATGAAGCTGGTTTATGACATTTAAGCTGTTGTACAAACATATAATGCTCTTATCCCAACACATGAAACACCTTTAAATAGAGTTTTGTGGAATATATATCTAATTACATCAAAAATCATTTTTTTAAGACATTTTTGCTACTTTGAATCAGCAGCAGTGGCCGAAGTTGAACGTTCACATGTGAATATTTTAGAAACTCAGTCATGTATAACCTGGATTATGTGTGACATATTGTATGAAACCACTAAAGCCTTTTCTGCCTGAGCCCTTGTGAGGTTTTCGCTTTGTGTGAGTAGCTCTACCTCTATATTGCCGTAGTCCTGTGATGCACAGGCGCCCAGGACCGCTGCTCCCACTAACACAGCCTCCATCTGGTCTGGCAGCACTACAGGCAACCCTGGGAACGAGACAGAACACAAGCAATGGGCTGATGCCTTCATGGGAGATTCATCAAAGTTCTACCTTGTCCTCTTTCCAGGGCTTCCTGGGAGGGAGGTCCAACGTGTCTGGATGAAGCTCGCCGTCCTCCCAGATCATAATCTTCATATATGTTAGCTTCATCATCGATTATCTGCAACGTGAACTTATTGTGTCTTTTCTGGACACACATCTAGTGCATGTCCGTCTCGTGTCTGTTATTCGTGTTGCTGTTAAAGGGGAGTTTGAGGGAGTTTTTTTCTTATCCAGTCATATGTTGGAGAGACAGTGAAGCTCCTTGAGGCTAACTTGTGATTCATCACGTTTGGCGTCATAAATAACATCCATAGAAAAACAAATGCTTTATCTTCCTACAGCTTTAATATCATCCATTACCGGCGTCTCCTACCTGTAGCGTTGGCGTGAATCTGCACAAACAGCGAGTTTTTGCTCAGCCCTCCGCACAGGAAGAGGGTTCTGATGTCATGTCCTGCTTCTTTCATGGCCTCCAGAATGTGGAGCGTACCGAGCTGAAACCGGAGCAGACGGCCCAGAGGAGGGAATCGGGTTACGAGAAAACAAACACAAGCTCCTTTTGTACTTAAAGGTAGCGGCATATCAGCGTGACACAGAGGAAGTCATTTGAAACAGAAACCACATCAGACTTACGGCGAGGGCTTGAATCGTGGCCAAATAGAGCAGAGCCAAGTCATCCAGGGTCTGGGACAGAGACAGTCCGATCACCTGCCAAACAGCGATGAGTCGATCATATCAAAATGCCTTGAGGGGGTGAATAATAACCACGATCGCCGATGAAGGGAAGGTGAAGGAAAAGCTGAGTCTGCTTCTGTCTCAAATCACCAGTGATTCAGTCAAAACAATAATCACCAGAACTCCTTCCTGCTTCCTGGATTTGCAGATGGAGTGTGGCAACAATAATTAGAAAACCGAACACAGAAATCAGTTCAACGACTTTAACTCTACTGATTAAATCCTTAACCGTGACGCTTTCACTCAAAGGTCCTTTCTTTCTTTCTTTCTGCAGTTGCTTCACGAGCTGCCGGCAAAACGTTGATCTGAAAAAAAAAGTGAAGCCACGAATCCAAATGAAATAAACTGTTATGTAGTTCGAATTAACCCCTGTGATGCCGCATGGAGTTGGTTTTATCAGTTCTGGTGTCACATTCAGTGAATATCTCAAAATATGTTCTTCAAATTTGGCATAAACATACATTTATATTTAAAGATGAACTGAGGTCCAAGGTTAAGACCACGGTGCCATCACAACATTCGGCAAAAAAACATTTTTCTGGACATAAATCAACACCATAACTGCTGGTGTGAAGATGTGTGTGAAGCATCCACCTTTGAGAATTCGTAGCTTCTTAGCAGCAACATCCATGTTGAAAGCATTGTATTGTATTTATTAGCCCAAATGTGACCACCTAGAAGGAGTCTGCCTCTGATTTTTGTTCCTCTCAACGAACTTCCACACTTGAAAATCTTCATTATACAGACATTTTGTATGAATGCGGACAAACCTCAGTTTGACTGGCTGGTGGAGTAAATCCACTGAGGTTTACTTTAACATTTTGGGAAATTGGTAGTAATCTTGTATTTGTGTTTCACATACAGAGCTGGAAGCAGAATTTAATGGGCTTAGCTCAGCTTTTGAAGTGGAGGTACGGGGGAATAAATGCAAAAAATACACCCAACCAGCAACTGTGAAGCTCACTGTACAAAATAAAAACCCAGCTATCTGTGGCACAGCTTGTCGAACCGTCTTCTTCTGCATTCAGTCTTTAAGTGAAGCTAGACTACTTGTGTCTCATGTCCAGCTCCAACAGTATAACATCTTCATCTACCTTAAACAGAAAGTGACTGAAAACATATAAAATAAAATAAATACACAACAAAGTCAACAAGCAGCTTCGGGGGAGTATGTAGCATCTGCATTTTTATACTTTAGTCAGTGAAATGATGAGACATAACCCCACTGGAATACTTCAGCCTGTCATTCATCCATCCCTGAATGTTAGTTGTAAAGACTGCCCTAACATTTTGATTAATAATCCTGTAAGTCGTGTCCGGCTCTCACCATGCCCTTCAAAGTGGGATCTGCCAGCGGCGACCTGTTTCCGTGGAAGTCCGGCCAAACGTGAAGACTGGATCCCAGCAGATCGACGGCAGACTGGGAGTCAGCCATGGAAGTCAGGTGGCTGTTCAGGTAGCTGTAGATGTTCTCGCCTGTAAAAGGCAATCTGGGGAGGCAGAAGGAAAATGTTCAGACATCAACAGAAATGATAAAGACCTCGTCCAATGGAGACGAGACAAGACATTGTGACTCATCATTGTAAGAAGAAGACAGCTTGTTAATGTTGCACCGATTCTTTAATTGTTAAGTAAATCAGTTAAATAACCCATTCTCCTAAAGAATAGCTGAGCTGTCGAGAATGCGCAGCATCACTGAGCTTCTAATCTTACTAAAGCTCACTTAACATAACTGAATGCCAGCTGATCCAGCCAGCTGATGAGCACGACAGCTGCTCTAAACCGTTTTTGGGAATCGCGGCACTAAATGCTTGAGCTGACCTCTGCCGGGCCTGTTCCTGGAGCTGGTCGTAGGCGGCGTGGCCTTTCACCACGTGGTCGATCTGAGGGAGGACAGAGCAATATATTAAAACTGAGAGGCACCACAGATGACAGAAGTGATGACATGAAGTCTTGTCAGGTTGCAACTGCTGATTAATAATGTATGACATATTTATACTGGCTCTAAGCTCACTTCCAAACAAATCTAAAAACATTCATTTCACAACAAGAAAATCACATTTGAGAAACCAGAACCCAGAAAATAACTGGGTTACACCCTCCATCTGCATGTAGGAACATTACATTTTGGATTTGCTGCACCAAAAGTTTTATTTTTATTAACTTAGATCTGTTGTCCTCATTTGTAGAAACTTTTTTGTACACATGGATATAAAAAAAACAAGACACTGGCTACCTCTGCCAAAACATTCCACATTTGATTGAGATAAAAGTGGAAAAGGAATACATTTTAATCAGTTTTTATAGTTGAATCTTTGTTAAGGTATGCCTAAGATTATTTGTAGCTTGAAATATACAAATTAGATAAGTTCAGAAAAAATGAATCTACTCACAAGCTCATGAGGACGTCATTTTTGTTCAAACACTACTTCCTGTTCCAAGATCATGCCTAGTTTTTATATTTATCAGAGCTCATTGATCAGAAGGACAGTTTAAAAATGCATACAAACCCAAAACTTAAGTCTGAGGAGGGTATAAACGATAACTTTGTTCAACGATCTATTTTCTGATGTTGATGAAAACCTGATGACTAAAGAAAACTGGAGCACAAAAGCCGTCATTGTCTTTTGAATCTTTTCCTAAAAAGACATTCAACAAAAAATTTGTCAGTAATTTTGATAAAAGTCAAATATTTACAGCACATGAGACAAATTGCTTTCAGACTTTTGCCCTCTGATGCACGTGAACACGAATTCTACGCCTCCATGTGCACTTGCATACAGTTCTTAGTTCATGAGAAGCATAACGTGGGTCTGTAAGATGCTGCAAAAGCGTTTGAAATGGACCGACCAGCCTTCCTGTAGCGCTCTGCCCGCCCTCGTTGAGCCACATGTCGGGCACCATGGCCGACAGGCAGGGTCCCCACACTCCTGGTACGAACAGAGGCTGCTCGCTGATCTGAGGCACACAAGGACGAAACATGAGATGTTTTACTGATAATAAATCTACAGAGATATGCACCACACTGAAGAGCTGCCAGAAGAATTTAAAGGAGCGGTATGTTTGTCTAATCCAATTTCCAGTGAATATCTTCTCACAGCCTGCTAACTGTCAGGTTGTTGTGTGTGTGTGTGTTGAAACAAAATCCAGCGTTAGTGCTGTAAATGGGAAGCAAAGTGACTCAGATCGATCCGCACAAACACGACTCCAACGTGTCCTAAGCATGTTTGAGCTTGTGCACAAGTCAGGGGAAACGGGAGGAGGACGGGAGATGAGAGGATGGTAAATCTGGTGTATACTGACGATTGAAATAAATTTCAGCGGCCTTTCTCCAAAATCGCCTTCACCTTTAATAGTTTTCAAAAGGAAGTGGAAACTGCTAGACTAACAGGATGTGGCAAAAAATGAGGTTTCCTGCTCATAGCTGCTCGTCTTAGCCTGCGTAGACAAGCTCAGGCAAAGGTGAAGTCTGCAATTCAGGAGAAAATTTAGCTGAATTTAGTTTGAAATTTAGCCAGTCGTTTCCCCGACTCCCTCCTTCTCCCTGTGCCGGGGCATGTTGGATGAGTGATGTGAGGATAGAGCCAAGCCACTTTCATCATTTAAGGAATCATTTTTTCAGCACACAGATTGTGAGGAGCTGTTCACTGAATTTGACAAAAAGTTTGTTGGATTAGAATCACATATTCTACCTTTAAGCCTATGTGCAATTAAAATTTTTAAAAGGAACTATGATGTAGAAGATTTAGCAGACCACCTTATACAGTGTAGAAACAGTTTACCCACGTATGAGGTGTGTCGGAAAAGTTCCAGGACTGGTGTCAACTACCAACTACGAGTTTTCCCCTTCAGACCATCAACCAGCACGTCTACAAAGAGATCCTGCAGCATTTGCTTCGTTCAGAGAAGAGGCCAGAGTTGTGGCAGGACCAGTGGTGGCTGTTTCACCATGACAACCTGCTCACAACGCCCTGAGCATCCCACAGTTCCTGGCTGAGAAGAACATCTCCATGCTGGAGCAACCTCCCTACTCACCCCACCTGCTCTGTGGGGTTGTTTCCTCTTCCCCAAGCTCAAGGGGTCATCAAGGGGACCCGTTTAGAAAACGTGGATGACATCAAGATGGCTGTGACGACGGAGCTGCGGAGGATCCTGGAAGAATCCTTCCAGGAGTGCAAGGTGGCGTGAGAGAAGGCTGGGGAAGTGTGTTAGACTCCAGGAGTGTAGTTTGTAGTTTGGATTTGAAATATGAGGAGTTCATTTGCAAAGACAGATAACTCCATCGTCACAAACCTTCAGAAAACCCACTTTTCCATCGTCTACCTGAGACGATATCAATCAAACTTAAGTTATCTCTATTTTTGTCATTGCTACTGAGTCAAATCCACTAAACTTCAGTTTGATTGATATTATCTCAAGCAAACAACAACAAAAAAGTCTGTTTCTGTAAATGAGCTCTTCATATATCTTTCATGACACCAGCCCTCAAACCTCATATTAGCATCAGACACGTATGTTTCACATCACCTCACAGCTGCTGAGTTTCACTTAAGAAACAGATGCTGTGCGTACAGGGTTAATCACAGGAAGTTTTATATGAGTCATGGAGTGAGAGTTTGAAAGAATCAGAAAGGTCACTCTGCATATTACACCACATCCATGTCGCCGCACAGAGTTTTTACTAAACATGCATTCTGCTGAGATGCACAACAGGAAAAGCTGCTGCTAATTTAGGGAAGTAAAAAGGTCACAAATCAGGTTAAATGCAGCTCACCGCCATGTGGCAAGTTGACGTTCCACAGATCATCGCCATGCGTGAGGTGATCGGCCGGTCCTCGCAGGGCAACTGAAAACCAGCCACATCGGCACCTATCACACCTGCAAACACACAAAAAAAGTTGTTTTTGTCATATTCAGCCACGATCAAGAGTTTATTTTCAATGTCATGATGAGGTTTTTCTTTTTTTTTGGTGCTCCCTGATAGAAAGTTGCTGTCAGGATCCCATCGGGGAATAATCAAGATGATTTACACATCAGAAGCTTTCAGCCCCGTTTGAAGTCGTTTTCTAACCTTCACAAGGAATTCAGCGGCGACACTAACTGTTGGGATAATGTTTGTGAAGCTGGTTCGAGTTTAAGGAGGGAGGTTGGTGTAGATGCGGAGGCCAGGGGCGTACATCACCGTGACACAGACGACAACTAATAGTGCAGAGTGTTTTAACCTCTGACTGACGCAACAATGTGTGATTGGCAGAGGTCACGGCGGCGGGTCGGAGGCCAGGGTTCAGGAGCAGTTTACCTCGCAGAGCAAAGCCAGATGGTTCGGATTTCTGAGCCACATAAAGGCCTCCTGCTGCTCTAAAGTCAAAAAAGTACTGGTAGATACAGTAAAGTCTGAGCTGATTTTCACCAGAAATATTAAAGCTGGATGTGTCCTGACAGGCAGCAGTGTGACACCCACAGGAGGTACCAGATCATACATCAGTCAAGTCTCATTGTGGATTTTTACTGCCACCCCTATCTCTCATGGCATTCCCTTCGTAAGCATTAAAGCTAAACTTGCGTGTCTTTTTTTAATTTAAAGATGCGGACAACACTTGATTTGTTTGTTTATTTCTTGGTCAAGGACAACAAACCCAATTAAAGCCGATGGACGGGTCCTCGCCGTACTCGCCGGGTCGTCCAGCAGCTTCATCCGAATGCATTTGGTGGAAATATAATAATAATAATAATAATAATAATAATAATAATAATAAACAGTTACAATAGGGTCCTTGCACTGGTGTACTCGGACCCTAAATATGAATATTAGATACTATTGACTGCAAATCCAGAGATAACATTAAAGAAATGAAATATTGTACACTTTCATGCATTCTCAAAGTTAACATTTTTGCTGTATGTTTCATACATTTCTTCCCGTCTAGATTCAGTGTGGGATTTGCACAAGATGGTTTCACAGCCCTTGCCTTGGAATGACAGCAGCACAAATACCAAACACAGACACCCCTGGGTATTGTATGTTGTGCAGCAGCCATAGTTGAAGAGGCTGTAAGTGAGGAAGGCTGTTGTTTGCCATGTAAAGTTATATTAATACTTTTTTTTTTTTTTTAGTGTGTGTGTTTGTGTTTGAAGTGTAATGATTCAACCTGACTTTGATGGCACTTCTCTTGATGTATGTGATGCTGTATTTTATACACTGCACAGTAAAAACATCATAGGTCCACAGTGAACCAGTTTGACCAAATACATGATACTATATAGTAATTAAACTTCCTCATCACACATAGAACTGGACACCAATGAACCTATTCAGACTGCCACCACCAACAAATGTGAGAAAATAAAAATTGGACACCATAATTGAAACCAGAATGCTTAAATTAATTAAATAGCTTTTTTTCTGTCAAATTAACAGGTGTAACATGATCAGCAGAACCTCTATTGCAGCTGGACAGAGTTTCATTGGTGTACAGTGAAGTTATTGAAATTAATATTAATAAAAATTCATTAAAAAAATAGGAAAACATTTATTTTTTGTGAAACCAAATGTTATAATGTGATCAGTAGGAGAGACGTGACGGCTGTAGTGACTTTGGTGACACTGCAGTGAACACTAGTGACGTTATTAGATATTTTTGCAGTGTGTGTCTTCGCTGTAGCAGCAGTGTTGCAATTTGCAGACGGTCCCTGCACGATGGTCGCACAGCCGGTTGCACATAGACACCAACGTTATTTCTGCTGCACGAAAAACAGCTGCTTCTGATAAAAAAAAACGATCGTGTAGTTTATTGTCCACCTCACACTGATGGTAAAGAGGCAGATTTTGTGTGTGTTGACGACGTTTCGTTAAAGAGTTGTTGGTGCCGGTGTGTTGACGCTGCAGTGTGTACAAACGGGGAACGATCTCACGCGCACACAAAAACTTTCTAGTGCTCACGCGATAGTTTACAATGACTGATAAAAGTCAACCTCAACGCAAAGTGAGATTTGCCTCCTCCCTCAAACTCCAGAACGTCACCCATATGGGTT